ATAATTGGAAAAGAAAAGATCAAATTATCCCTTTTTGCAGATGATACGATATATCTAAGAGACGCCAAAAATTCCACCCGAACACTCCTAGAAATTATTACCATGTTCAGTAAAGTGGCAGGTTACAAAATTGGCCTATGAACGTCTGCAGCCTTTCTATATACCAATAACAAGCAATCAGAGAAAGATAACATGGAAGCACTCCCCTTTACAATAGCTGAAAAAAAAATCTTGGAATGAAACTGACCAAAGCTATTAAAGAGCTCTACGATGAAAATTTTAAATCTTTAAAGAAAGAGATTGGGGAAGACATCAGAAGATGGAAGGACCTCCCATGCTCATGGATTGGAGGAATTAATATTGTGAAAATGACCATCCTACCAAAAGCCATTTATAAATTCAATGAAATGCCAAACAAAATCCCCATGACATTTTCCACAGAATTGGAAAAAACCATCCTAAGATTCATAGAGAAGCAAAAAAGACCTCAGATAGTCAAAGCAACCCTGAGCTGCTAAGAGCAATACCAGGGGGATTACTACACCATATTTTAAGCAGTATTACAGAGCTATAGTCATAAAAACAACATAGTATGGGCACAAAAATAGACCCATAGAACAATGGAACAAAACTGAAGACCCAAATATGAGTAAATTCAATTTCAGCCACATGATATTTGACAAAAGGGCAAGAACATTCACTGGAGGAAAGACAGCATGTTCAGCAAATGGTGCTGGCAAAACTGGATCTCCACCTGTAGAAGAATGAAACTGAATCCCTGCCTTTCACTTTGCACAAAAGTCAATTCCAAATGGATCAAAGACCTCAATGTAAAGCCTGAAACTCTGAAACTGTTAGAAGAAAACATTGGCAAAAACCTACAAGATATAACTGTAGGAAATGATTTTTTAAACAAGGTATCAATTGCTCAGGAAAAAAGGTCAAGAATCAACAAATGGGACCTCATTATACTAAAAAGCTTCTGTCCATCAAAGGAGGCAACCATGGAAGTGAAGAGAAAATCCACAGAATGGGAGAAAATCTTCACCAGTGACACATCTGACAGAGGTTTAATATCCAGAATATATAATGAACTCAAAAAACAGAGAATCAAGACAAGAAGTAACCCAATTAAAAGATGGGCTAAGGAACTGAACAGAGAGTTCTCAAAAGAAAAAGTAAAGATGGCTATAAAGCATCTTAAAAGGTT